GTACACCAGCCCTCATCTCTTATCATTTGAGCCATTCTTAAGATAATTTGTAGCCATATGCATGGAATGATGTGTGTGTAATTTTGCCACAGATACAAATTCAGATCCTGCCTCATCATCAATGTCTCTATTGAGAATTTGGATGATGTGTTTGTAATGTTACGTCACCTAAAGACTTTCTCCCCCTGATCTCGTTAAACACACATCAATTTTATATGAAAGCCGGCCATCTAGAAACTGCTTATGAGTTATGATTAATATATGATCATCACACTCAAAAGTCCAAACCAATACTGATTTGTAGAGTAGGTGATCGTGAAAATTAATATAGCTAGCTAGCTAGGTGAGATTACAGTACATGGGATTGAATCGGGTAGTTCTGGTGTTTACAACATCATCTGTAAGGATGTCTTTACCATATTCATAGTCTTTTGATTGGATGTTGGACGCTCTATTATCGGTAGATGAATGCATATCATATTCTATGAGGTTATCACTTTTATTCTACGTATATAGAACGCCTAACACGCCAATCAAGCGATTATGAATACTATAAAAACTGTCTTTATCCTGATTTGGGTAATTGAAAAATGACCAATCATGCATGGAGGAAGAGAGATTTCTAAATTTTGTCTAGAAGAGACCAGACAATGGCAGTATTGATAAATGGGGGTAATATATATATAACATATTTTTGAAAATTTTATAATAATTAGATGGGGTTGTTTTTAATACATATATATAGAGAGATCATATACAACAGCCATTAGCCAGCTAGCTCAATGGCTATACAGCTACATACATACAATACATGTGTACATAAAATATAAAATTCAATGAGATGGTTTTATTATTGAACCTTATTATCATTATATTCTAACCATAATATATAATGCTTGATATTTGATATTTGATATTTTTTAACTTAAGAAGCTTGTTGAATTATGGCATGTAAAGTATCTATATTATGAAATCCCTTTCCCCCATATAAGAAATCCTCTCAATGGGGGAATCTCTCATGGGACAATTAAGAAGATTCTTCTTACACCCAATATTTACAAGTAACTTAATCATATCAATTTGTCAATGAGAATCATTGAGATGTAAGAATTGACAAGTGGGAGATTTCCTTTTCTCCCCTTACTAATTGATAGAAGCTTAGTTATATCATATATGCTCATAACAAAAATGAAGAAAGAAGAAGAGAATAAAGAGCTTGTTTGTGTCGTATAAAACGTCTCTTTTCTTGATTAATTATAATAATAAGTAGAGCTTGATTTGATATTGTTAGTTTAGGAGAATTAGAATTGAGAAAGATTCATGACGGTGTCTTTGCATTTCCTTTCAGTACAATTTTCTTTGCAACTATGATGGATCATGTGAAGAACTGACGGCACGAAGAAACAATCAATTTGTTATGACAATGTGAAGAATAATGTAGCTTTTTTCTGGTAGCACGCTTTAACAAAATTTTAACCAAACATCTTTTATACATTTTTGGAATGATTGTTGATCGATATATAGCGTGGCATTTATACAAGATTGACAACAAATCTATCTCTATGTGAGAGTGGACATTTGGTCCAGCAGAAACGGTAGTAATCAAGTAGATATAGATTCATATATCTCAATTCCGAAGATCGATGTGCACCACAATCAAAACAACTCCACTCGTGATCAAGCCTAATATATATTACCTTCGAAAGTTAAGTACATTCCTAACAACACACCAACTTGTTGATCCATTCACGAAGTCATCCCCTACTTACAAGTTCGCAACGTCGCAATCGAATTTTAACCGATATGTCCACTCCTTCTGTGGAGAGGAAGGTGATTGGAGTGTTGATTGAGCTAGTTAGTTAGTTAGTTCCAATATGCTCACAAGTGTTAGGGTTTGTTAGAGTACTGTTAGCCATCTAGATCTAGTTAGGTAGTAGAATCATGTGTACATAATCACATAACCGGTTTTTTCTTGGTGGGTCATTTGTGTCTTTTTCTCCCCTCTTAGGTGGACAATTTGTAATTGGATGAGCCCAAAGAAATATTATTTTTGTCGGATATGGTGAGAGATAATGGCTTTGCTAAGGATATGGTTGAAGAGTATAGGGTGGGGATAATAACTGTTAAGGCATGCTCAATAATACTAGAAAAACCCCACAAAAAATATTAATCAAAAGGTCCCTTTAAACACCCCATCCTCTAATGCCTGTCTGATAATTAAAGGCTATGATTAGGACCTTTAATTACCCCCTTAAATCACCCACGTTAAAAGGAGGAGGGGCCAACAAAAAGGGTCATGTCAAAAGATAATGACTACGTTGAACACAATAGTACTAAATGTTGGGAAAAAATCCCAAAGTACACTAGTTCTTAAAAAAAATTCCCAAAATACATAAGTTATAAAAAAAATTCCAAAAGTACACATGTTTGAGCATCACCGTTTTAGACAAAAGCGGTGAAGGTCATCACCGCTTTTGACCAAAACGGTGAATACTTCACCGTTTTTGTCTAAAACGGTGATGTATTCACCGTTTCAAACTAAAACGGTGACTGCTTCACCGCGTGAGAGCAAAACGGTGAAGCACTGAACTGCGTCAAAACTTTAAAACAACGTAACTTTGTGCTCGGTTATCCGATCGTAGCGAATTTTTTTTTGATTCCGCACAATTTTTCGAGATCTTGCAAGCCGCAAATTGCCGGAGGCGGTTTGGTCCCGCCTTCGTCCCGAAAAAATGTCGTTTGCTACCCCGAACGAGCCTTTTTTCGATTTCGTCAAACTTTGAACGACCATAACTTTGTGCTCCACAATCCAAAAATCATGAATTTTTTTTTGATTCCGCATAACTTTTTAAGGACTACAATTTTTAGTAGGAGAGAATTTTCAAAAAATGAATTATTTATGGATATAAGGGGTTTTGGGAATAACTTTACCTTCCCTTTTCAGGAATCCAAGTACATTCCGAAATTATGTCCCTACTAAAAATTGTAGTCCTTAAAAAGTTATGCGAAATCAAAAAAAAATTCATGATTTTTGGATTGTGTAGCACAAAGTTATGGTCGTTCAAAGTTAGACGAAATCGAAAAAAGGCTCGTTCGGGGTAGCAAACGACATTTTTTCGGGACGAAGGCGGGACCAAACCGCCTTCGGCCGTTTGCGGCTTGCAAGATCTCGAAAAATTGTGCGGAATCAAAAAAAAAATCGCTACGATCGGATAACCGAGCACAAAGTTACGTTGTTTTAAAGTTTGGACGCAGGTCAGTGCTTCACCGTTTTGCTCTCACGCGGTGAAGCAGTCACCGTTTTGCTCTCACGCGGTGAAGCAATCACCGTTTTTCTCTCCCACGGTGAAGCAATCACCGTTTTTCTATCACGCGGTGAAGCAATCACCGCCCTTCTCTGACGCGGTGAAGGCCCAAACATGTGTAGATTGGGAATTTTTTTCATAACATGTGTATTTTGAGAATTTTTTTTAAAAACATGTGTAACTTGGGATTTTTTCCTAAATGTTGGGGGTACTAATCAAAGGAAACATGCCATGCAGGGGGTCGGATACTATGCTAACCCTTAAAGGGGTAGTGATTTTCGACACCCCCTTTATGATTGGCCAATTTTATTTCCAATCATTGGCAAGTATTAATTAAACTGGTTTTTTATTTTTTTTCAATCTTGTAATTTGGGGTCTCTCACCCACATTGGAAAGGGAAAGAATACGGGGAATCAGAAAAAAGCTCCCCCCCCCCCAAAATGTGCAATTAATTGCCTTTTTTTCTTCCTTTCGTCTCCTTCTCTCTCCATTTGGGCCCTCTTTCCATTTTGATTTCATTTTAACCAGAACCCTCCTCTACTCTGAAACGACCAAAACCCTCCAGCGCCTTCCCCCACCACCATCCTCCTATCTCCAGCTGCCGCCATCCTGGGATCGCCTCTGACCTACCTTGTGGATTGCTCGCACCAGTGGAGTGGTACGTGTACCAGTGGAGTGGTATTTGTATCATTGAAGTGGTACTGCATTGTTGCTCCGTTATTGTTTATCATTGTTATGAAAAATATCATTGCACTGGTATTGTTCTCACTCTAACCTACCTTGTGGATTGCTCGCACCAGTGGAGTGGTACGTGTACCAGTGGAGTGGTACGTGTAATTAATGTACCAGTGAGAGAAATTAATTATGTAATTAATGGGGGTGATTTCGTTTTTCCCCAGATTCTTTCTCTTTTCCAATGTGGTGAGAGACCCCAAATTACAAGATTAAAAAAAATAAAAAACCAGTTTAATTAATACTTGCCAATGATTGGAAATAAAATTGGCCAATCATAAAGGGGGTGTCAAAAATCACTACCCCTTTAAGGGTAGTCAAGCTAACCGATCCCCATGCAGGGCTTTATTTGGATAATATTCCCCAAAATCATCCCTGGTTAATCATGCTTAGAATGATAATTAATGAACGTGACCCAACAGCCCCTCCTCCCCCATTGAATTTTTTGGAAGATTTGGGATGTTTTACTAATTAAGGAGAATCCTGTGTGTGAAAATGGAATTCAATAGTGGAATGTGTACTTATGAGAATTGAGATTGAATTATGAAATGACTTGATTTAGGATATTATATCAAGGGGTCGTTTGGATGCATAATTTTAATACGAGGGATTTGTGAGAGAATTGGGTTAAAATTTATCGTTTAAAAACCTAGGAAATTTAAACATAGAATTTGTACCAAATAACTCGTTTGGAATTGGATATGGGTTTTTTAATGAAAAAAGACAAATCTCTATTTTGCCCTATTTTTGTTCATCCTGTTGTTCATTGTTCCAACATATGAACCCAAATTTGTTCTACGTGTGTCCCCGTTGCAAACTTCCCCAATGAGAGTCAGAGGATGCAAACAAGTACAAGTCATCTACTTCCTCTTCCTTCTTCTTGTTGCGGCCACTACCTGTCCAAGATTTCCACTTCCCAGTAACCCCCAAAATCAATCCCAGCTCGCTTCCTATTGATTTCTCATGCCAGGTCGCAGAGAACAACAAATTTGCAATGGGGTTTTTGAAGAAGAAGGTGTCGCCAGAAATCGCCTCGATGTGCCAAAAATTGCCATCCCAGAGAATCGTTGGGTTGGGGCAGAAGAAGGCGTAACCAAAAATCTGCTCCTTGACCTACGCAGCAGAACCCATATTTGGTTCAAGAATAGGGCGAAGGTTGGATGGACGACGACGGCGATGACGGAAGTTGCGACATGTGGGGCGACGACGACGATGATAGCGGCAACAGAATAGGCGACATCTTGGCCACGGTCGAGGTTGAGCGTTGGTGTTGAATGTGGTTGGTGTTGAGTGGGGTCACGGTGAAGCTGCAAGTCGAAGGAAGAAGCAAGAAAGAGAGGGCAACAGTTGGCCTGGAAAATAAAAGATAATAATGAGAGATTTTGAAATAGCTGGGGGGTCATCAGCTATATTAGAAACCTGCGTTTGAGGGTTTTTGAAATTCCTAATGTTTAAAATTCCTTATTGTTTATATCTTTTCCAAACGAGTGATTTTATTAAAATCTCTAATTGTGAGAGATTGTGTTAAAATCCCTTACAGAAAACTCTCATGCAAACGGCCCCAAAAGTATTTGTTTTAGAACAATTGATTTTTTTAAAGGGAAGGGATCTCAGCTCATATATTCGAAGTTATCAAGAGTAGGAGTGTGTAACAATCCGATTCGGTCTGGATCAGATCAAATTCTGGACAATCGAGGTCCAATAGAGAAAGACATGTTAGGACCAAGGACCAGATTCTTCGGTGCATTTGGTCAGCTCCAAATATCATTCGGTCTACTTTTCTTCAGTATTTAATATTTTTAAAATTCATAGGACCGAAACATATTATATTTGGTTCGGTGTGGTTCGATCTAAATATCGGTATGATTCGATACGGTTCGGTTCAGACCAACTTGTTGCACAACCCTAATCATGAGTCTCATGAATAATAGACCAATACATGAGAGCAGATGATTCTAACATATATCCTCCATGTGGCTAACAAGGATATTATCCTACAATGATGGATTGTGAGAATTGAACCCATGATCATTGCCCCATCTGCCTTTATCACTTAAGCTACTATTTGGTGATTATGTAAGTTGTCGATTTAACCACGAGGTTTGACAAATATAACAAACTCCACACTTACACTTCTTTTTTGAACATTGTTAGCCGAGAGATGGTTAATTGGCTATCGGTTCAAGGACGCACGTGTCCCTACTTTCTCTTTCCTATGGAACTTAGAGTTTAACTTGTGTACATACGTAATACAATAGTAAGAAGAAAAGCAAGATTGAATTGGATAAATATGAACTAACCTTATTGAATTTACAGACACTTACTCGGCAGAATGTTTACCTGGTGTTGTGTTAGTATTGAGCACTTTTAGTATTGAGCTTATATCAAGGAGTTTAGTAATCATGGAATGTGACCACATGCCTCCATGGCATGCTTTGATTCCTCTCTTCAATCCAATAAACAATGGTTCCCATAACAACAGAAATCAATAGAATAAGACACAAATGCAGGTAGTGGAGAGAGTAAGGAAGGATAGTAGAGATCTTTCATTCTCTGATATTTCACTCTTCCTGAGCTCCCCTTTACCACATGCATCTCTTTAGGGACAATTAATCATGCCCTTAGATTAGAGGAACTGCCCTCTTCAAGGGCAATGAGAAGAAGATCCCAAAAAGCCAAATTACAAAAAGCAAAAGGCCATTGTGCCAACAAAAAGATTTAACCTTTACTAAAGTACAACTCAAACAAACCCCATAACAAAAATGAATACACCTTTTTGAAATTCCTACAATACATTGAAGTTATTGTAACTTGATGTTTTTACCTGCTATAACAGGTTTCACAAGTTGCATTACGTAAAATACAATAAGCATTACGTAATGGTTACGTAATGTGTGTTTATCTTACGTAATAGTTGAAAAATGTCATCACGGAAACCTTACGTAATAGACACTCATTTTATGTAATGAATATTAACCTTTCGTTACGTAATTTGTTAAATTATTACGGAAGACTTACGTAACGCTTCTAATTTAACTGTTACATAAGAAATAACTATCGTTACGTAACCTTTACATAATAGATGCATACTTTACGTAACAGTTGTAAAGTGTTATTACGGAAGCCTTATGTAATGGATGGTCCTTTTATGCAATGAATATTAACCAAGTTACGTAATGTGGCAAGTCATTACGGAAGCCTTACGTAACGCTTCTAATTTAACTATTACATAAACAATAACCTTCGTTACGTAATCTTTACGTAATGAGTGTGTATTTTATGTAACCGTTGTAAAATGTCATTACGGAAGCCTTACGTAATAGACAATGCTTTTACTTAATGAATATTTACCTAGAGTTACGTAAAATGATAAGGCGTTACGGAAACCTTTCGTAACGCTTCTAGTTTAACTGTTACGTAAGACTAACAAGCATTATGTAATTGTTACGTAATAAACATTAGTTTTACGTAATGCGACCTATAAAACCTGCTATAGCAGGTAAAAAATGTCAAGTTATAGTAACTTCAAGCAACGGCGGATCTAGGATATAAGAGAGCACTGGGCCGCATTTGAATAGAATATTAGATACCATAAATAAAAATATATAATAATATAGTTTTCATTACAATGTCAATTGTACAAGAAGGTCTTTTCATTTAGCAAATTCATCAATAATATAATATCCATCCATACTTATAATATACTCTTTTTCAAAGAAAATAGCTAAGTAATCAACGTGAAATTCATCGCTCATTTTGTTGCACAAATCAATGTTCATGTTTCATTGCTGAAAATATTCTCTCCATTGTAGTTGTTGAAACGTCTAGGTCAACACTAGACAAATCAACCGACAAATCAATTTGTATCATGTGTCCATCTTGTTTCATCCAGCTTCTCTAATAATTTTGCAAGAGAAGAAACTTCATTTTCCTCACATGAGTAGTGCATTCTCCAAAGAATGCATCTCATAGCCTTCAAAGTCTCGAGGCTAAACTCTTGAGCAAGTTTGTAAATATTTTCTTCATCAAAACACCAGAAAGAATGGTTAGAATCCAGTGCCCACTCAATTGAGGCAATCTAAATGATGACTCAGCAAGTTTGTAAATATTTTCTTAATCAAAAGAATGGGAAGAAAACCAGCTCGACGGGTTGGCGGAGAAATCCATTTTGGGTCTGCTCGTCTCCTCGTTCTTGTTTTGTTTTGGGGGGATTGGAAATTTTTTTGAATTTTGCAAAGAAGGGTGTGCTTTAGTTTAAAGTTTTTATTTTATTTTAATGAAACTTACACTTTTAGGTTTTCATGTCTTTTTTCAAATAAAGTCATTGGGGTTATAGAAAATTTAGTATAAATTTAGAGTAATGGTTTGAATATGTTCATCTGAACTATTTTACTAGTTACACAAAATCCTATTATCAAATAAAACTAGACAGAATTTTAAAAAGCATTGAGCCAAATACCTAAATCAAAAAAATTTATAAGCACTAAACTAACTCTGGATCCGAAAGAGGGCTGGGCCGGGGCTTGGGTTGGCCCAGCCCGGATCCGCCACTGACTTCAAAGCATGGCAGGAGGTCTTTTTTATATATAACACCACCCATTTGATAGTGTATTTTAATGTTTTGCATGCTGTATTACAGCAACCACTAATTAATTACCATTAAGTGTTGCTTTAAAAGAACATTTCATGCCCCTTCTAGGATGGTGCAACTGTCCCTTCTGATTGATTTCCCTCCCATCAAGACCTTGGAGCTAGGAACACTTTGATTGTCTGGGGTTAAATGGCTAACTGGTCATTGTAATGTCAGGCATGTAACGATATAGTCACTTAACTTAGAATTTGAGTATCGTAGTATGTAAATTAAGTGTTTGGTCGAATCAGCATGTCGAGTAATTAAGCTCGTCTACGTCGTTAGAATAGCCAATCCACCCAACATACTGACTTCAATTAACTTTCCCTTAACCAAAATCTCGTAACGCAAACCATTGAGTCAACCACCCAGCTAACCCAACCTTCTTCCTCTCATCCGTGTGGATGTTCGTGGAGCTTCTTGGGCAGTTTTGGATATACGACAATCTTGTTTGTTGTGTTCTGGCGAATTAAAAATATGTTAGACGAAACGAGTAGAGATTACCGATTGATGTGTTATAAAGCAGTTAATTACAAATAAATTTGGACCGCATTTAACCCATTATTTTAATTCACTTATAAAACTTGTTTCTTGGATGAAGGGCCGCCAAACTACTTTCCTTCACCTTGAAACGGGGGAGGGAAACTTCCTCTATGCGTTCTGTTTCCCAAGAACATACCATGCTAGCTAGCTTCTCAGCTCGGGGTCGGTTAGCATGCTAACCCCCCTTATGGGTTGGAAAAATGACACCCCCTAGTATATTAAATACAATTATAGAATTTAATACACACATTAAATACATATTAGAAATTAAATGTACCATATTAATTAGGAATTCTCTCACTATTAAATACACATTAGGAATTAAATACACATTAAATACACATTAGGAATTCTCTCACTATATTTGATTTTTCCTTTTTCAGCAGTCTCCGACAACCAGACTTCCGCCGACCGCCACACTTCTCTGGTGAAAATCCCATCGGCAGACTCCCTCCGACCACCTCCAAAAAATATACCACTGCACTGATACGGTGTACCACTGTACTGGTAGATATACCACTGCACTGGTAGCGATATCAGTGCACTGGTAGCAATGTCATATCTGAGTATCAGTGCAGTGGTACAAATACCAGTAAAGTGGTAATTAATGTGGTGTATTTAATGTTTACTTTGTATTTAATAACAGAACATTTATTATGTTTACTTTCATTAATACTGGTCAATAATTAATGAAAAATTGACCAATTAAAAGGGGGTGTCAAAAAACCAACCCCTTAAGGGGTTAGCATGCTAACCCGTCCCTCTCAGCGCTCTTACTAAGCTCTATGCCATCATCTATAAGAATTGATCATATTAACCATCAAACCTTTGAGAATGTAATTGCATTGCTTTGAGTTCTTGGTACTAAGGTATATATCAACCTTAGAATGTGTAATAAGTTGTTGTTGTCACATGAATATATATTCGTATACACATCACTCGATGCGATTTATAATACATTCATGTATCTGTAACAAGATGCAAAATACAAAATTTTCTACTACAACTACATCTATTTCTCTAACACGTTATACGATAATTTCATATGATTTTTATCGTT